GATCATGGTGAGGCAATAGACGATATTCATCAAGTATTACTTCGGCTGATCATCCTTACTGATGAGTACAGCGGGAGGATAACCTGATGGCCTAGTTATTGTCGAAGGACACGTCTAGAACAGAATTTGAGCTACTTCTCCAGAAAAAAAAATCCAAAAAATTCACTATTCAAAGATCAAATAGCAACTGTTTGCTTCGAGCGCACCTTGAAATTATCACAACGATTTGAAATAATTTGTGGTATATTGTTACCTTAGTAAGACAGAGGCGCCAAATAAATTTCAAGTGGTTAAAATACTTAGCAACATTTCAGCTTCTTCAGCTCAAGTGCATCTGGGTAAAATATGAGTCAAACGCTCTGCTTCCGGCTCACTACCTTCACTACGACTACGGTAGCCACCATGTACGACCATTAGAGCACGTCCTGCCGCTGGGCAAAGTTTTTGCAGAAAACAACAGTAAAGGCACAACGAAAAACCACCCGCGAGAGTTTCCTACTCTGGTAAGACCTCCTACCCTATCCTACCTACTCATCTACCTACTTTTCCAGAGTTTACTTTATAATCTGCCTCGAGCAGGTGGAAGGCGGAAAGGATACGGCGCACGTGAAACGAGAAGAATAAGAAGACACAGCAACCGAAGAAATTTATCCCGCAGGCAAACACGACATCCCTCCCTCCCTACCTCCAGCTCCCAAATACAACTCCCTTTGCTGGAGATACCTCCGTAGGACCTGCTCTGATGGCTAGAGCACCCAGTAGGTGAGTTCAAAGGACACCAGCATAGAATCCTATACAATATAACTGGTACAAAACCTCAATGAATTAGAATCTTCCTGAAAGAATCAGAAGAGTGACCATAGAATAGCAATGGTGTGCTGGCGTTATGTTCGTCTCGCAAGAGAGACTCTGTTGGTCGAGTAGGCGGGGCGGAGCGTCCTATTCACAGCGTCTAGAGGCATGTGAACATATATTAAGGAAAATAAAAAGACCATTTACATAGACGAAACCTTCTGAAAATAACGAGTGACTAATAAGTACGCTGGGAGCAGACAATGACAAATATATGCGCGAATTTTCACATCATGATGCAGAGCTTCATGAATGATTTGTTGAAATCGGGGGGAGGTGGGTATTAAGCACCAAAAGTACGCTCTCATGTGGAATATCTTAGTTGACAATGAATTGTATCCATGTTTAGTCGGGTGGGTCGCATTGTGCAAGGTATCAGTTTCTCACGTTGCTGATTAAAACCTGATTCGGTGGGAAATCCGATATGTTCTGTTCTCCTAGATATTGACAAAGACTAAGTTTCTGCGTAACAAGAGCAACAACTCAATACCAGTGAGTAAGACGTCCGTCAAATAATCGACAGCACCCAGCATAGTGAAAAGATGGACCCAGACGGAACAGATTCTCACGGACTAGGTACGTTTGCATTTTTAAGACGCGCAACTGACGGCTAATCCCTTCTGAAGTTGAAAGGTGTCCCGGACTTCACCTTTGACGTGTTCGAAAAGCGCTGTGGCTCAAATTCACAATAATGAATTTCAGAAATATTTTCAATGGCGTCGTTATGATAAAGGCTTGCCAACTTGTTCATGAGTATAACGTGACTGGGATGGAAATCGGAATGGAGAAGCCTGGATCATCTTTACCGAGCAAGAAGTACTCTGCCTATTAGAACACGTCGTACTTTGTGAATCCTAGCGATGGAGGTCGTATTTGTCGCTAGAGGAAGGGGTCGTATCTGACATTGAGAAAAAGCTTTTGGGTTGTGAACTTTTAGATATATCCTGCTTCGAGTGCGATGTGTACCTCTCCCCGCTCCGAGACTGTTTTTTCTGAAAAAGTGAGTAATTTTCAGAAAAAAAACTGCTAGAAGGCGGAAGGAAATAAGGAAAGCGTGGGAAGGTGGTAAGTAGGATGGAAGACGGTGGGGGCGTCAGAGTAGGGAGTTTTGAAAGGGATCTCATTTCGCAGAAAAATCCTCTTGACCGCAGGACGTGCTGTGGTACCTATTCATAGAGTCTAAAAGAACACGTAATCCCAAAAGTCGCGATTCCCGATCTCTTGCGCTGCTAGTTAGCTTTGAATTGCTGTTAAGGATGCGGCACGCATTTTATTCCCATTAAGAATTCTAGTGGCTTATGAATGCGATGTGAACTACACAATGACTTGGGGGGGGGGCATTCTACGTACATCTGTTTCTTATCCTCCTACGAGAATATGGTACCAGTTCACGCCCGAAGGAAGGAAGCCTTGATTGACCTGGGCAGGAGCCAGTCTGGGATTTGACCCCCGGACCGTGCACATATTAAGCGCGCCGTTTGCCACTACACTACCTCCGAATCAAACAAAACGATTATAAAGGTAAATCTCCCAGTGTTATGGGGAATGCAAATCAATTACTGAAATGGCTTAACATGTTTCGTTGAGCTTTCATTTTGATTTTCTTTGTACTCTCACAACTAATGATATTCCCGATCAGAAAGGTAACCAATAGCATGGTCAAGAAGCCCCTTTAGTCAATCGTTCTTACAGCGCTTACCCATCGCCCGGAACATACACAACATACCTTCGCCCGGAACATACACTCCTTATCCCTGAGAAGAAGTAGGCGTGGCATTTGAACATGGCATAGGACGAGTTACTCGCGGAATATTCCAAAATTGAGACAACTGTCATTTTGTTCCGTGTTGGACAAAGACATACTCACAACTGTCCCAAAACGAAAGCATCTCATGAAAGCCTTGGCCGCTGCCACTTTTAATTCATGTGCACAGCCACGCCTACCGCATCTTGCAGATTTTGAGTGTACATAGGTAGCACACTGTGATTCGAAAAGTCGAAAACTTGTTTCCAAAGGTGTTCGGATAATTGAAACCCCAAGCACTAGGGAATTTCGGCTTGATGAGGATCGGAGAAAGCGAAGACAGTGCTTAATGCCAGGTAAGGTAGAGTTTTACTATGGTTTTTCTATTTACTGATACGATGCCGGCGCTTACCACACGCGCGATCCAGAGGTCAAGTCCCGGCGTAGATCTCTTTAAAAAGAGAAAAATCAACAACCAAAACAGTCAGCTTCCCCCTGGGGCTATCCCGATGGGTTCGAAGCTATGTCTTGTCCCTTAGAGCCTAATTTGCCGTATAACAAACTGTGATAGCGAGTTGAAATTGATGAGGTTAGCCAAGAGTTGTCAGTTTACAGCAGTACCAGCTGTTAATCTTTTCTTTACTTTCCATTTCATTACAAAAGGAGTAGCTCATTTGACAGTATGTGGTTTCAATGGCACTGTGGCACTTTTCAAATTTTTCCTTCCCTCAGCCTGAGCGGCAGGGCAAGAAAAATGATTGCTAAAATGACCAAGTCATCTTGGAAGGGCGAAAAGGGGATCAGTCAAACAGCCTTCTCTGGTGAGTTGACGATCATAAGTCCATGAGAAGGAAGGGCTCCCTTCTGAGCAAGCTTGAATTTCTCAAACCAAGATCTGCCTATTAAGAAATGAATAATAAATACATTGGTGATGGCCATGCATTCAGTAATGAAGCGAGGAATAACTGCGTAAGAAATCAGTGCAAACCAGGAGGCTCATCCCGAATGCAGCTCGGCAAGGCATTCATCTTCTCAAGTGGCATCTCTCATCAAGGTCGGTGATGAATTCCTCTCTCCTCTTACTAGTTAGCATCACTGTGGTAAGTGGAAAGCTCGCGCTCGTGGAAAGTAGAAATAGCCGCACTTTCTCAGAGCCTTGAGCATCTCCAGTGAAACCTCTTATACAACTGTGAATCTCCATTTTCTTCTAAAACTATTACGACACCAAGAATTGTCTTGAAAGTAACCCCTTCAGACACTGCGATGATCGATGAGCAGAAAGGAGGAAGAGTGAAGAGCCCGAAAGCCGCGATCAGTCTGCCACTCGTTCTTCTTCCTTCACAGTCGTGGTAGTAGTGAAATGCTCTTTTGGATTACAATGACATAAAAGCTTGGCTGAAATTCATTCAATCCAGGATACAGCGCCTGAACCGGTGACCTTTCACCGCAGCTCTGAAGACCAATTGCACACTCAACTCCTGGATAGTGGTCTTTGGCGTGTGAGGGGTGAATGGGTCCCCACACGGCAAAGACTTGGATCTATGGAGTTGAGTATGCAGCTAGTCTTCAAAGCTGGTGAACGGTCACTATGACGGTTCAGGCGCAGCTGTTTGGCGTGTTACTTTCATCGTTCAGAAGTGCTCGGAAATGGGGTGGCAGGTAGTGACACTCGGGTTCCGTCTCCCCACTCTACCCGCAACACCGCACAACACACCACACGCCTAATCATAGCCAAACGAGCTTCTTCTCTACACCCACCCACTTCTGGTTGTTCTCTGCCAGTGATGTGTTCGGCGCGTTTTTGGTACCGACGCAAGCGCTGCACCTTGAGTTCGGCACGGCTGGAAGTCGGGTGACCGTACCCGGGCAACACTACCCTCGTTCCTTGCGTACTTTAAGCGGAGAAAGTGGCACGCTGCTGGATGCGGACCCATTGCCTCTCACATAAGGACCGTCCTCAAGGGTGAAGATCCGTTTTATAACATGTTACTTTTTCTGTGTGAAGTCGATCTGTGGCGATTGACAGAATTACTCTCTGGAATCAACAATATTTATTTGTCCGCCTGACATGTTTATTTTAAGAAATTTATGCATGTATATAAACTTTGTCTCCATTTGATTGGTACCAATAAAGTTGGGCATGCTACTAATATTTATTTGTCCGCCTGACATGTTTATTTTAAGAAATTTATGCATGTATATAAACTTTGTCTCCATTTGATTGGTACCAATAAAGTTGCATCTGGTCAGAGGGACGTATAACAGGGAAGCTTACGATAGTGACAGTTCTGAAGATTGTGGACTTGGTCGAGAAGCATTCCCACATCGGACATACTCATTAGACGAGTGTGTATAGTCTTGCTGGCTGCGCATGCTAGGGTTGTGTTTAGCGCGACGCAGCCCCCTGACATGCCCAGCAACCGCAGCGAATGAGGCTTCTGTGTACACTCGTCATCCGAGGACTTGATTAGGGCGGCAAGGGTCGCGACGCGGCTGCGGCGTGTCACGCGGCGATCAGCTGTTTCCAGCCTATTTTAGCCATTTTCTCCCTAATTTACACTGTTATGGCTGCTTTTCTCGAGATTATTGTTCCTTGTCTTCACAAGAAAATTATGATTGAGATTCCTCTGTTAAACAGTTAAGCAGAGAGTTGAACAAACACCTGAAAAAAACCGCAAAACACTCTACTACAGAAATAAAAAAGGCCTCAGTCCTAATGTACTTCATAAAGACAATAAAACAACTAGCTTCAGAAAAGTAGAGAATACAGTCAAAACTAGGAAGAATGGCCAAATTAGGCTGGAAACA